GTAACAGTGAAAGCTCTTATTTGCAAATTTTACAGAATGGTTCTGTTCTTTCACCTCCGGTAGAAACGAAACTCCAACTTAAAAAACTAGATTCCATATTTGTACCTTACTGATAGATTTTCATTCATCTCCTTTCCAGTCATAACCTTACACCTGTCCCTTTCCAACCATTTCTGTCCGACCCAAAAATACTTAACGCATTTTCCCTTCTATTCCGACTCCAATATACATTCATTTTGTTATATAAAATTAAATAATCCACTGAACCCAAAACATGTTCTCCGACCATCTTCAGAAATGCAGCGCGGCGATGAGGCTGTAATTTCTCTAAACTTTCCTCCGATTCTCGTCCCGCACTCCCTCAGGTACATCTCCGATCTCTCCCCTCGCCTTCATCCCACCGCAATTTTGTTAGTTGTAATTCGTAATTTAGGTTTTTATGGGATGATAGGATAGCAGCAATTCAGCCTCAGATTGACTGAATTTGAGTTGAAAATCTTTGAATATTTAGCTCAATTACATCAGTTGTACTGCTTTGATTGAATTGTAAAGGCGCCATCTTAATTTAAATTTTGCATGATAGATTAATGCATTTGAACTGTTTCGGTTCAGGAGAAGTCTGAGGCAGAGTCTAAGGTCAAATTGGTTAGCACTTAGGCACCCTATCGTTTTGCAGTATTAATTTATGTGCTTGCTATTTAAGCTTATGGGTAGCTCAAATTATTAGTGGTTTTAACTATAATTATTTTGCATGATGAAATCCGTCACTTTCTTATGTCAAGTATGGGGATATTGTTGAACATAATCGTGATGATGCTAGCCTCAAAAAGTGATTCGATTTATTGTTTGGTCAATTGACTATTGCCATCTGAGTTTGCTTGGGTGGGAGTCATTATGTGAAGTTATGGGGGACCATGTTGAGATGTGTGAAAATACCTAATTTTGTTACCTTGTATAGTTGTGTGGTGTGAGTCTGACTCTAGATGTAAATTTTGCTGAAGATTTTGGATGCATACACTTGCCTACTGCATGGTAATTCTCATGTTTTGATGTATACTATTAGCAAATTATGAGTACTCCATTGCACCATGGTTTGCAAACCCTCAAAAGGCCTAGAAATTATTAGAAATTTTTTTTTTTTCACTGCAAAGGAGTAAGTGTGCTTAGCTGTTGCATTTGTTTTAAAATTCTCTTAATGTCTGTATTTGGTATAGCATAAATAACAGTAAGTAGTGTGTTTCTTCTCTGGCTGTTAAGATAACTTCAGTTTATGAATTTCAGTTACTCTTTTCCTCTCTCCTCTCTTCTTAGTGGTTCTTTGGGGCTTAATTGTTATTTTTATCATGGCCTCCATTTTGAGTTCCTTGCTCGTCTGTTTCTCTAGTTTTGATTAGTAGTCCATGTTTTCTGTAAGGGCTCATTCTTTTGTTGAGTGGAATGAAGAACAAGCTCAGTATTTGAAGGGGGGTGCAAATCATGCAATAGGAGATTTGCACTTGTAAAGTGATTCTGGCATGTAAGACCGTCAAATCCGTGGTATGCCCTGAATTATTTTCCTCTATTTTCCTGGTTGGGTGTTATTGTATCCAACAACTTGTATGGGGAAAAAAAATAAAAATAAAAACACAATTTGATCCAAAACTGAATGTCTCATGCTTAATTTAAGATTTTCCTTTAGAACTTTTATTTACCTAACTTCATACCACTGTAACAATGTTCTAATAATTTGCGGTGTGTCTCTTCAAACGGTTGAAGAGATGGCCCCACTTCGGTCCACAGGATATGTTGATCCAGGGTGGGAGCATGGCATTGCTCAAGATGAAAAGAAAAAAAAGGTCAAATGCAACTACTGTGGTAAAGTAGTTAGTGGTGGGATATTCAGATTGAAGCAACATTTGGCTAGGATTTCTGGAGAAGTAACTCATTGTGAAAAAGTTCCTGATGAAGTATGCTTGAATATGAGAAACAACCTTGAAGGATGCCGTTCAGGACGGAAGCGAAAGCAATTTGAATATGAGCAAGCATCTTATGGTTTCCAGTGTAATGAGTATAATGATGCAGATGAAGCACCTGCAGGTTATAAGCATAAAGGCAAGAAATCAATGGGTGATAAAAACTTGGTTTTAGGATTTGCTCCTCTTCGATCATTGGGATATGTGGACCCTGGATGGGAACATTGTGTTGCTCAAGATGAGAAGAAGAAAAGGGTAAAGTGCAATTACTGTGAAAAAACAATTAGTGGGGGCATAAATAGGTTTAAGCAACATCTTGCTAGGATCCCTGGCGAAGTTGCATACTGTGAAAAGGCACCTGAGGAGGTATATCTCAAAATAAAGGAAAATATGAGGTGGCATCGTACCGGCAGAAGGCATCGGAAGCCTGATATGAAGGAGATATCTGCTTTCAACATGCCTTCAGATAATGAGGATGAAGGTGGAGAGGAGGAGGAGGAAGAGTTTTTACAATGCATAGGTAAAGACATTTTGGTTTTTGATGATAAAGTCTCAGATAGTGACGTTAGAAATAATGCCAGGGGTAGGTCTCCTAGTACAAGTGGCAATGGTGCTGAGCCACCACTCAAACGATCAAGACTGGATTCAGTGTTTCTGAAGACACTCAAAGGCCAGTCATCACTACACTACAAACAAGCAAAAGGAAAAATGGTTTTTGAGAAGAAAACTCGCAGGGAAGTTTTATCTGCCATCTGCAAATTCTTTTATTATGCAGGAATTCCTTCAACTGCTGCAAACTCCCCATATTTCCACAAAATGCTGGAATTGGTTGGCCAATATGGGCAAGGTCTGCAAGGCCCTTCCAGTAGACTAATATCTGGCCGTTTCCTTCAGGAGGAGATTGCTAACATTAAAGATTATTTAGCAGAGCTTAAGGCATCTTGGACAATTACTGGTTGTTCTATCATGGCTGACAGTTGGTATGACGCAGAAGGCAGGACAATGATTAACTTTTTGGTTAGCTGTCCAAATGGTGTTTACTTTGTTTCTTCTTTTGATGCAACTGATATTATAGCTGATGCTGGTAGTCTCTTCAAGTTGTTGGACAAAGTAGTGGAAGAGGTTGGTGAGGAGAATGTAGTCCAGGTCAAAATTTTTTCACTTTTGTTTCTCTAGAAAATCTGCTTTACCTGCCTGAAAAGGCAACCTGCTAAATTATCCTCTAATTTCTGTTGCAGGTAATTACAAAGAATATTTCCAGTTTCAGGAATGCTGGGAAGATGCTTGAAGAGAAAAGGAGAAATTTGTTTTGGACACCATGTGCTGTCTATTGCATTGATAGAACACTAGAGGATTTTGTCAACATAAAATGGGTTGGAGAATGCATAGAGAAAGCCAAAAGGGTTACAAGATTTATTTATAATAATACATGGTTATTAAGCTACATGAAGAAAGAATTCACAAAGGGACAGGAACTTCTTAATCCTACTGTCACAAAGTTTGGTACTAATTTTCTCACTTTACAAAGTTTATTGGACCAAAGAATTGGTCTTAAAAGAATGTTCCAATCAAACAAGTGGCTTTCTTCCTGCTTTTCCAAATCTGACGAAGGTAAAGAAGTTGAAAGAATTGTCTTAAATGTCACATTTTGGAAGAAGATGCAGTATGTCAAAAAATCTTTGGAACCAGTTGCTGAGGTTCTTGAAAAGATAGTTACTGATGGAAGCCAATCAATACCATTTATTTATAATTACATGTCTAGGGCAAAGCTAGCAATCAAATCCATTCATGGTGATGATGCAAGAAGGTATGGGCCATTTTGGAGTGTGATTGAGAATAACTGGAACTCATTGTTTCACCATCCACTTTATGTTGCTGCGTACTTCCTCAATCCATCGTATCGGTACCGTCCAGATTTTGTAATGGTATGGGAATAGTGATTTTTTATCCTTTTTCTCTCTATTTAAGTCTTCCATTTTCCGTCAATCATAATTTCATCTATCATTCATATTACTGAAGAATCCTGAAGTAATGCGTGGTCTAAATGAGTGCATTGTTCGACTAGAAGCAGACAATGGAAAAAGGATTTCTGCATCAATGCAGGTAATGCTTCTTATCTGCTTTATGTTTTGACTCTAATATGATCAGAGGGAGGAAAGTACAGAACCAGTTGCTTGCTTCTTGGGTATTTTAAAGCCATGGTATCCACTTAGTCAAAGCGGTTCAAGACCCGGCACTTTTTTGTCTGATAACAAACGTTTTCTTATTTCTTGATATTATTACTATTTTTTTTTAATGTTCAGATACCTGATTTTGCATCAGCAAAAGCTGATTTTGGCACTGATTTGGCTATTAGTACCAGAAGTGAACTTGATCCAGGTGATTCAGCCGAATTTTATGCTGCCCATTTGTAGTAATAATTTGATTTCCTGCATTGATAAGTGGAATTCACTGCAATATGTATTTGTATTGTTCCTTATTTCCTTATTAGCTTCATGGTGGCAACAACATGGGATAAGTTGCTTAGAGTTACAACGGATTGCCATACGCATACTAAGCCAGGCATGTACGTCACTTGGATGCGAGCATTCCTGGAGTATATATGATCAAGTTCACAGCAGAAGGCTGCACAGCTCTTTATCTCGAAAGAGATGGAATGATTTTACCTATGTTCACTACAACTTGCGAATGAGAGAGTGCCAACTTGGAAGAAAGCATGACGACTTGATTTCCTTTGACGGTGCCATGTTAGAGAACATGTTGGATGACTGGCTAGTGGAATCAGAGAAACAAGCCATTCAAGAAGACGAGGTACCTTCCAACATCTTTAGTGGTATCTTCAATCTTGAGTGATAACTTTATCTTCCCCTTGGAATTATTGAGAAAGTTGATGCAGTTCCTGAATTTTGTCCTGTTTTAGGAGATTGTTAACAATGACATGGAACATTTTGTGGGAGATGATATGGATGAGCGTGAGAATGAAGAAAAGCCACCTTCAGAAATGGTCATGGCCAATTTTGTTGAACCTTTGGATATCAATCCTGCTGCTGGAGGTGTTACCACTGATGATGATGGTCTTGATTTTCTTGATGATGATCTAACAGATTAGTTGATCTCAATGTGGCTCATCAAACTTGGGAGTTAAGCTGTGAGATACCCATGTACAATAATTAATTACTGACAGGAAAATTAACTTAATGTTGTCAAAGACTTCTTTTCTTGTAATCTCACAAGTTTCTGGTGCCACACATAATTACAAAAAAACTATTTTACAATTTAAATTATATCAAATCGTAAAATATAAACCCTTAAACGAGAGATAGATCTCTTGATATTAAAAGTTTTTTCCTACTTTAAGAATCCTTGTTTCCGATTCAAAATTGTAAAACAACACATGATATAATTTTGGGGTTGGGGTTTATGTTTTTCTTGCAAGCGGAAGAATGGCAAAACAATCATCCAACAGTTCCATGATAAAAAAGGGGAAACTTTGAATTATACAATAGATCTATTTAGGTAATACAAAGTTATATAGATCTATTTAGGTAATAAAAAGTTGTAGACACGAGTATAGCTCCTTCACATTCATGTATTGATTGTATAGGCAAGCTACAGCGACATGCACAAACAAAAGAAATGCAGAAATAACTCCACAGCTTCATTAACATCCACATGCTTTTCTTTTCTGCTTTTTCCTTCAGTCCATCAAGGAAAATATCAAGTCCCATGCCATAGTAACTAAAAGAACTTGCAAATCAAGACCTTTAAGCCTCAGCTAATCTCCAATTGAACTCTCATGCAAGAGCTTTGTAGCTTAACAAGTCTGCAAAACATATTATACTGCAGAAATACTGAAGAAGGTACTAATATCCTGGTTACTGGAGATTAACCTGCCTGAGGAATCACAGACTGAAACAAAAGATTGACACTCTTCCATGAACATATCATGCTGGGTAGAAGTATGGCCCTAACTTTTTTGGGTAGTAGAGCATTGAAGCAACATAGTTAATAGTGCAGCCACAAACAACCTTCCAAGAGTAGACAGATGGAAGCCACTTTCTTGCTACTCTGACCCTTCTCCAGAAAATTTACATATTCTCCAACATGTCCTTCAGTCTTAAGCTTCTTCATGCTCTCCCCCTCCCCCCCAGATGGGTTCTTTTTATTCAGAAGACACACAACAAGGTTCCCAGAAAACATTAAAAGATAAAAAGGAAACAGAGAAGCCAGAAAAACCTACCTAGTTCATCTTACAAAGCAAAACTTGCCAGCTGCCAGTAGCTTTCTAGATAATATGTAATTGTAGATCCTTCAAAATCACCTTTGCTTCACAACCTTAGAGCCACTTTCTAGTACTAAAACTTACCTTCATTAGGTCAAGCAACCACTCCAGTATCTGTTTCAGTTTTAGTATCTGCAAGGGTAATTGTAATAGGTTGCCATCCTGATGGATGACTAATAATCCATTTCTTCACTGCAACTATTATATTCAAGATCTGGAGAACATCACCCAAGGCAAGTCCTTCCAAGCATGCCTTTTTTAGAGCCAAAGCAGCTTCATATCTGAAAAGTAGATGCCACAAAATTGAGGAAAGAGCAACAAGATAAGAGATTCAGACTATCAGACAAGTTTTACCTGCACCGAGAAGCCAACATTGCAGATTTTCCTATCGGAGAAATCAAGAATTTTTGTATTTTATTCCATGTTTTCTTTGGATACTGATTAGGATTGCCGCCTTTAAGATTCACACAGTGCCATAGTTTCTCGTTTCTACCAACATACATTTGCACCTCACCTAAAGTTTGCTTCACTACCATATGTTGCTCAATTGCATTATCCAAAGCCTTCCTTACATCTGTATTCTGGTGTTTTGGATCTCCATAACGAATGCAATCAATTATGTTTGCTTCAGTAGGCATAATTTTCTCATTCTTGAGTGTGTTTAAAGCAAGTAAGATAACACCAATAAGGCCTTGCACATATTCAGAAGGTGGTGAACATCCTTGAGTTCCCCAGCTACCATTATTAGGAGTACTACCAACCACAGAGGATGATGGTGGTTGAAAATCAGGACCACGGAAATGCCTACGATTAAAAGGATCATGCTGAACTGCATGGCCACTGGGACGCACATGGCTCCGCTTCTTCTGTGGTACACTAAGAACAGGTTGATTTGGCAACTCAATAGAGCTTGTTTTGAACTCCTCTACACGTGGATGATGGAAGTTAGAAGGGTGTTGAGCATAGTTGGGATATTCAGACATACTAAGCTTAGCAAAATCAGGCATATTTTGGAGTGGGGGTGTGGGAAATCTAGGGCCCTCCACTCTAGGAGGCATTGGGTGAAAAGCAGGATGTTGAAAACTAGGAGGTAGAAGATTATCTGGCACAACAGTAGGTTGTGAAGGATGAGGATTACGAAGAACTCCCATGAAATTATTGCCATTACTCTTGGACAGATCACCATTGCTAGGAAAGAAACTGGGAGTAGACTTACTAGCAGAAACAGCAGGCTCACTGCCACCGAAGAACTCATGCGGTGCTTTCATAAATGGTTTTGCTTGTGCATGATCTAGCTGGTAAGAGGAACTTTTTTTCTTATTTTCTTGAGTGGTAATTGGCACACTTGAGACTCTAGATACGCTTGGTTGATTTGGAGTTTTCCGAACATGTTTCCCTTTATTTTTGTTATCCCCATTCCTTCCATGGGTAGAAGAATTTTGATTTCCAAAAGGAGAGCTTTCAGAATTGGAAACCATTGGTTGGCTATGTTCAACAATTTGAGGAACTGGGTTATATGACATTTCAGGATTCAAGGTACTTGGACTGTTAGCAAGCTTAGATGATTCACCACTTGATAGAGGCAGCCCTCCAGCTGAAAGGCTTGTCCAAAGCCATACACTCTTAGCTGCAGCAATAAGTGGTGCTGATGCCTTTTGTGGTTGTGCCAAAAGAATATTATATCTCCTCATGCGTAACTGATGAAGAGCATTAGAAAAATCCCTATCACCCGAAATCAACAGATAATTTGCAGGAGCAGGGTTGTCCACTGCCCAGAACAGCATATCAACTAGAATTTTTTTGTCACTAGCATCTTTCACACCTGTCCATTGTTTAAAATATCAACTCACTACAACTTATCATGCCATTTTTAGTACAGATAATCATAATAGGCATCAAGAAACAAAAACAGCAAAAAAGAAGAAATGCATACAGAAAGGCGTCCAAAGTAATTAAAACAAAGAAGATAAATTTTATATAGGAAACTCATAAATGCAGTCATCATTTCTTAATTAGTTTGAATTTCAAGAAAGCAAAGAACCATACAGGATTCAACAGTTATAAATTTATTCCAAAGATCCACACGTTTCAAGAGCAAAACAAGTTAAAGAAACATGAATACTTCAATGTTCAACATCAAAGCAGCATCACAGCCAAAGAAAACGACTTCACCAAACTGTCTCCTAAAATGCATCAAATCAATCCAGAATCAACAATGTACTACTTTCAAAAAGAATTTTCATCCACAGACGACAACCATAGATATCAAAATGCAAAGATGAATTAGGTGTTTCGACATAGAAGTAATACCAGCAGGGACGTGATTGAGGGCGACGCCGGTGCTGGACAGCGCCTGCTGGACAGACGACGGTATCCCATTGGTGTCGCCGTAGGCGGAGATGGAAACAGGACCGCAATAATTCATCTGCACTAGCGCCGAACTTATGTTCTGCGCGATCGCGTGCGGGTCGCAACCTTTAGGCACGTGGCAGTTCTCAATGTCCCACCAAACAGACGTCTTCGCCGCCACGTACTGCGGCTCCGCCATGCCACCGCCGACGACGTTACCAGTAGCCATGGCAGTGGCAGCAGCGATGGTCGATACGGTTACATCTCCTCCCATATGTGGTGGCGCACGATAGAACGAGAGTCGGCTTATTTTAGCATCAAAGGAGCCCCGGATTCTGTGCTTTGCTTTGCTTTTGCCTCAGTGAGGGCCGCATCTGCAATGTGCGAATTTTGGAGTGCCTTTAAAGATAGAAACCTCATTCCTCCAAGTGTGGATATGTTGTGAGTTTACTCTTTTAGCCCTGCATTTTGGGCTTGTGTTGCGGAAAAGAGGGGTAAGTGTGGAATGTGCGAATTTTGGAGTGCTTTTAGAAATGAAATCTCATTCCTCGAAGTGTGGGTATGCTGTGAGTTTACTCTTTTAGCCTTGTGTTTTGGGCTTGTGTTGAGGAAAAGAGGGGGTAAGTGTGGAATGTGCATATTTTTGGAGTGCTTTTAGAGATGAAATCGTATTCCTCTGAGTGTGGGTTTGCTGTGAGTCTACTCTTTTAGCCCTGAGTTTTGGGCTTGTGTTGAGGAAAAGAGGGGGTAAGTGTGGAATGTGTGTATTTTTGGAGTGCTTTTAGAGATGAAATCTTATAGTTAAAACTCTATTTTGAT